TCAGGAATCACTGCCTCTCTACCTCCAGAAGATGAAGGGAGAATGTGAGCTATGGGTTATTACGCCGCTGTTTCGTTCATTCAATTAGGCACTGTGGTTAAGAGCGTTACAGAACCAGTCGAGCTGACATCGTTGGGGCGTTATAGGTGCTATGCATTAAGGTGTGAACACCATCCAACTTGTATCAGTTATCAGAAACAATTTCACTTGAAAACAAAGGACCATGCTGGTGGTACTACCCAAAAATAAGGTTACTTTTTAGGTGGAAGACTTCGCTCCTCGGGTCCGAACAACTCAAACATTTTCAACTTTCTTATCCGTGTTGTCCTTCTGGCACAGCTGACGTTAACAAATGTTTGTGTACGCAATGAAATCGTCCACAAGCGGGTGCTTGGTAATTACTAATCGTCGGAATTTCGGGCAATATACTGCACAAATCAAGCAGGCACTTTCTTCCATCACAAGATCATGTTATAGAGAGGTTTTGGTAAACAGGTTATGATATGGTAATACAATATTGGAGCAGGTGTTGTCAACCTGAGCGCCACCGGATATTTGCACTAGTTTGGGTCCATCTCTGCATGTTGTGACTGAATCCAGGGGGTACAAAGTACTTATTCGTTCTCAGGGATGGTCACATTATCATTTATTTAGCTTGACCCTGGCCAAAATTCTATATCCTATAGAGGTTATTCTGTTCGGTGAAGATGCTGCGTCAAAAGTAATAAGGGTGTCTCACTTTGTCGGTGCGTTGGAAACTGCTTTCTTCGTTACCCTTTCCATCCTGCAACTTTCCTACTCTTCAAATCTTTCTGCACTTTGTGGCGAAAGTTTGGCTTGACTGTCGCATTACTAGCATGCTTGTCTACGTGCTGATTTGTTCCACTTGCCTTGTCTATTAGAAACCCATTTCAACCCATCTGACTCACTGACACAGAAACTCTTGACTGCTTTCGATATCGGACCTAGTTCTTATCGCTGTACTCCAACGCCTGTAGGTAATCTGCTGTATATTTCATTGACCAATCGTAAAAGACCGCAGTTGTGACCTTAGCTTTTGCCGATTGGTCAGCGAGTATGGGATACTTCGGATTCACCGTTATAATCCTTTAATCTCATTGATTGATCGACTGATCGTTTTCTAATCCCTTCAGTGGGGCAAAAATCACCAGGTCCATTTGCTAAAGTGACCAGTGTACCCACCTCCCCATAATTAGTGCTGAAAGGCTTGGCCGTAGAAAAAATCGCAAGTATGAGTCCGGGTTCTAGTTTTTCACCGGATCACCAATTCATCCTTTGAGATTTGAAGCGAAGCCATCGGTTATCGTGGTTTTAGTATCCGGCTCTTTCGCACACAGTTGGGTGTTCCAAATTACTCACTCCCATCCTGTTAGAAGGGAACACGATTGCAATCAGCCGGCTGTTAACGCTTCATTCGTGGGTCGCGATTTTTCAGTTCTGTTACTGGAAAGCCTTTGACAGTCGACCGAGGGGTACTAATAATTACTGCTTAACGGTGGAGTACCCAACAATGGATGGAGGTACGACTGATCGAACAGAAGACGGGTTACTGCGGTTCTGCGTATTGATCGTCGCAGGTCGCAGTGATTCTTCCTACGTTGTGCTCACTGCCTGAACTAGATGTACAAACGCCTGCAGAACCAAACTAAGTGATGGCATTCCTTCCGGAAAAGTGTGGGACAACTCCCCATATGGTCTGTATTCTGTCGTTCCACTTGGCCCATCAAGCTTTTAGTTGGCGTAGCGGGTTCCTGAACCCGGATATGACTGCTGTATCCCTGGTAGCTTGCTTGGTCAAGCGTGAGAGCTAGCAAAATCAGTACTTCGTGATTACCATTAAAATCCTTGTTTCCATTCAAATGTCTACTAGGAACGAATGCATCTACACTGGAGACGGTTTGGGTGGATTACAATGGGATTTGACTTTTTTCTACCATATATCATCTACTCACCGGACCATTGAACATAATATCAGATGAAAACACTCCATTTTCCTGCTTCATAAATCTCCGTGTCATGCTATCTATGCTGGATGGTCAATCAGTACCAGAGGACACTGGATGGGACGCCGTCGCCCACCCTTATTTAGGATGTGGTATAGTCATATCAGATTTAGGGTAGGTTAGTGTCGTCATACGGGGTTCAGCTGATCTACTGCATGACCGATTACGTGAAGCAAAAAATCCCACATTTCACATGTGCACCAGTAAAACCTCGCAAGGAAATCGGCAAAAGAAATAGGGCGGTGTTTCCCAATATGAGAGACGTCAAACGTGAGATCGTGTTGTATCACTATAGAGGATTTTTCACATCTGCTTTACAGAAAGGCGGAGCATCGTAGGAAGAGTTGTGTGAGACCAAGCTGTCGTCTAACATATCCGAAGATTTACGCGATGCATTGTGCCAGTCCCCTGTATCGACCTTCGGTGTTTGAATTCGTTTTTTTCCAGACCAAACGCTTCGCTCACCGTCATGCTTTGAAGATTAAGGTTATAATGTTGTACCTGCCCGAACGCGTGACCTTTATTGCGGCATTTCCAAATTTCTGATGGCATTTTTTGTCCAGTATACATTTGGTTTGAAAAGAGGACGTTCCACATCCCAAATCGGCCATATTGGTGGTTTATCGCTTACAATTCATCTGCCTCTCAAATACAAACAGGTCTGCCTAGTTGAACAAATGTGACTGGCTCCTTAAAGTTAAAAATTTGCCATCAGGGTTAATCAGAATTACTCCATTTCTGTATATGGTGGGCGGTGGATTCTTGGCTGTCGACCAATCCACACATTGCGCACACCCAGTCCCTGCCAAGTATTGTGGAAGAAGATTAATCAAAACGTGTATGGCATCAATAAGACGGGTTGTCGATCAGAGATAGGCTTCATACTGTCCATGCACCGTTCGTCCCCTGTTGCTCGGGGAATGCGGTTACTGTACAATGTTGGCGCCCACAGGCTTTCCGCTTGTCAACACTGCCGCTCGGGGCGAGATGGCTCAGTGGTCAGAGCGCAAGTTTACTGAATTCAAGGTCCGTGGTTCGAGCCCGACCTCTGCATCTCGACTTCCCCCGTCTAGGCTTGGGCAGCCTAGCACTATCTCAGCCTTCATGCTTCCTTCGCGTGATATGGCGGCCAGTGTTACACCTGAACGATTTTTATTATAGCACCGCCGGTTTCCATCAGACTGAATGAGGTTGTAGCTCAGCGCGTTCCGTAACGACTCAAACATGAGTCGAGCACATTTTTCTAAAATTAAGAACCTACAGTCTAAGGAAGTTAAGTCATGATTTTCGGGCTCTCACTGAAAAAGCAAAGTAGCAACCTGGGTGAAAACGAGCAGAAAATGGTCAATCTCTAACCTACTTTCTGGCTGCAAAGAACTCCACCTCACTGCTTAGCATGTTTGTAAGATAACGCCTACTTGTTTGAGAGGACCACTGATAAACCCATTGAATGGGTGAAGACACTTTATAGTCGAGTGAACTCAAGCTGGGCTCGACAGCGTAAATTGGTCCGCTCAAGGAGTGGAGCATTCAGCTATAATAGCACCGAACACGTGGGATTGTGCGCTGTGCACTGCGTTGACACATTGCATTGTCTTGAGAAGTGCATGGCTTGCACAACTTGAATAATGCGTTCGTGGATTTCTCACCCACTGATGTTTCAAGCACTCGCTTGCATAGTGGATTGCGTGAACGAGAGCTCAAGTGGACCTTAATCTTCTTTTAACGTCTGTCAACCCAGTATGCAGTTCTAATGCTCAATTGAGCCGATGTTAAAGGAATCGTAACCTTGTCCTCATTAGCAAGTAACAGGTAGTATTGTAGAGGGTCTACGGAGCTCGATTATCTTGGATGTTTTCTTTGCGAATTGTTTCTGGTCATTATCAGCTGTTTCGCTCGCTGGTGAAATGCCATCGGGAATACGACCCCTAGGATTTCTCAGGATTCTCCCAAAATGCGATAAGTCCACAGCAAGCAACTACACTAGACAGCGTTGTTCCTTGAGGAGGACCGGTGGACGGGTTTTTCCGTTCGTGCTTATGCGGAGCGGTATTTACATCGTTGAGCTTTCTCTAGGGAGCATAGACCACACGAAGACACTAAGGCGTAGCTAACTTTTGTCTCGGTAACTGCCATTGAATGGAGGGAGCGTTTCCGTTAGATCTGGTTCAACTGGGTTGAACAGTGACTCTCAAAAGGGATCTCTGTTGTTGGTAGAATCTACGCTGTGATGACCAGCTTATCGAACCCGGTTAAGCTGTGCTGAGATTTGGTTTCTTTTTTACTTTTGATGTTTTATTTCTGCGCGTTGACTTTGCTAGCGATTTGGTTTCTGTTCAAGCATGTATTTTGTGTTATTCCATTATCGTATTCTGAGCGCGAATAATGCCATGGAATAATCAGTCAACATTGTGTAGGATAGCGAGCCATGATGCCTTCTATGTATATAGTGAACTCTTTGACGGTGACGATTAGATAATATTTTGTCCCTTGGTTGTTGATTATGGCTGCATTCCATATGTTTGCACGTTCACCTGTATCCCTCATGAGACTAGGTTTTGTTGTAGCATAAATATGCTCCCTTCCTAACGGTCATCGTCTGATAGCTAGATCTTAGAACTTGTTTCCCGCGTCCATTTTTCGGTGTTATTCTTTTATCCTATACGCATCATCGCCAGCGGATGTTTCCAGCTTGGCTTGTATGCTGAATCGTTCCACCAGAATGTGGGCGGTGCCATAATCAGGTGACTCCTTGATTTTGTAAGTGAGAGCTGAATGCTGTGTCGTTTTCGACTATGTATGATCTGTTGTTTCATTTTCAGAAACGTTTTTTAGTATACGTCAACTATGGACCAGTAGCAATATCAGTTCCTGGGTTCAGTTGTACCATGTACCATTTAGCTATGCGCTAAATGCAGCCCTGATAGACTCTGTGTTGTTTTTTCCAACAAAAATAGTTATTTTAACCCACTTCAGCTGAATATGGCACGTCGTGATCATTTGGTTCCTATGGAAGTGGATCCAGCTTCTAGCGGAGATGGTGACGATTTAATGAAGCGATGTTCCGAGTTTTCACAAGTTACCCATACGGACAACGCTATGGCGATGATGTATCTCCAGGATCGGGAATGGAACCTAGAGGTAACTGCTTGTGTTGGGATTTCTCATGCAGTTTTGCACTGTCAGTATCGGTATTTATTTTTGTTTTTCTGATTGCGTGCTGGTCTTTGTATACAGACCAGCAGGTATTGTCGATTCCATCACCATTCATTTGTTCCATCACATAGTCACTTTCTAAATACTTGTAACTGAAACCAAAATGTGTGCACCGTTAGCAACACTCGATGGGCTTTTCTTTTTGCTTACGATTGCGTTCGTTGGTGGCATATAATATTGCTAGGCATCAGAGAGTTCATTGATTTGGTGCTTTTGTGAGCCATGATTCCCTCTCCTTGGGGAACACAGTGTGCTCCGCAATCCTGTCCTTCTGAAGGTCTGCTGCGTTGTTCAGATGGCTAGTAGGAGCATCGTGGATCACAAACTTTGAAGGTCTCCACAGCTTTTCAATCGATTGAAAGATGTTTCGGACCGATTGGGTTGTCATCGTTCCGGAAAGGCTTGGTAAACAATCGGTGAATTTATCGCTGGGCGTTTCGATATTGACACAACTGCTTTGTCAGGCCAAGTGAATAAGCTACAGGGTTGATCGAGTTGTTAATGCAGTCAAAAAACCAGCTAGTGAGATTTCTCGCAACTAACCGGCTTCATTAGCGGTGGGTGTCAATTCTGACTAATCGCTATCATTAGAAACCTTTCGATAGCCTGCGATCGGTTTCGCCCTTTTTCACACACATCGGATACGCGCTCTCTCCGAATATCAGCTATCCTTTTGTTCTAACTTGACGCCAAACTGTATGCAATTGATGTAATACATTGTTTTATGTTTCTGTCAACGGGCGACCCAACGGAATTCCAGCCGAATCCCTCATCTATAATATTCTTCAGCTGAATACGCTGCAAATAATCAATTTGCAATTTGTGAATTCACAATGATATAGTTATTCAACATATTTTCAATGGTATAACGGTACGTTCCTTCAAGACTATATCCATGGCAAGGAACTAGCCTTCTTAGTACTCGATTATCAAGAAAGGTGTAGTGTTCCGTGACGATTCCGGATTGCCGTAAATTGTGAGATGAGCACAAGGTACTTGAGGATGTTACGGAAAGTTTGGATACTGTAGACGCCGCTAGCCTTCCGGAATGGTGTTCAAGTGATCCTCCCTATATTTGGTCATGTACATTGCAGCATGTGATAACAAACGGAAGTCAGTGGGATTCGGGTCACTAGTTTCTATCCAGATTGTTTGGCTGCGTTTTGAAAGTGAATGCATATCGCATGTCCATGCCAGACTAGAACTGTGGGCTTCCACTTCCGGCATATCTTTTCTCAAATAACCTAAACACTTGTGCGACTGGTAAACGGGTGTTTCAACACTGATGACGATATCGGTGATGTGCCCAGGTGTTTGGACTACCGGAAAACACGCTGCCAAGATTGTACCCATGCAGGGGACACTTTCTCTTAGCCTGATTTCAACATACAAAACGACCCCAGCATTCCCGAAGACTCGTTCTCTGAAGTTGGGTTTGTTAGACGTCTAATTGGTCATCCCAGCCGCTTTGGCAGCATTGTTTTCGTTTTCCTGGGACACTGGCGTGCGAATAATAATATCTTATAGCAGTCACGTCACAAAATTCTCCACAGAATGTTACGGACTACACTATTTGCCCCGCGTGTGTAGACCTATCGAACAGACTCTACTTGACTTTTCGACTTCAATTTTTTCGCCTTCAAACCCGTCCTCGTGTGCTTCATGTTATCGGTTTGAAATCAAGGTTTAGCTGACCGTCCCGAGTTAGAGAAACAATGGACCTTCAACTAGACCATAACGCCTTACCGGCACGGTCACCCTTTCACTTCAGCAAAGGCATTGCACAAGAATGGAGTGAAAAGGAATTCCTCAACAGGAACCACACGATATCACGTCGCATGGGAGCATCGTGGTGAGTTTGAAGGATGACTTGAAGAATTGCACACCTCTCCGGAAATCCTAGGATTCCTGTCGGAGTGTTTCATATGTGTTGGTATTGTGTCGAATCATTTTGCCAAACAAATTGAAGCTTCCTAACTGAAAATGCTAGACGATGTTCAAAATGAGTTCGGCTGCAAAGTTAACCGAGAAAATGTCACATTTGTACACTATATTGATTTGGTTAACGTGCTAGGTATTCTCATCCAGGCACGTAGAAAACATGGAAATATTTGGTGCACAAAATCTCCCACAATATCTTATCAGACGGATTATTCTGTCACTGCGTTAGTTTTCAATTCATCCTGGGGTGGTATTTAAAGCTGGCTCAGACTACGATATTCCGTTGACAGCTACTGCCCCTACAATGACTGTATCTTCCCATGTCGTGTGACAAGAGTTTGGTCGCTCTGTAGTCGTTTTGAAACGCGATTCTTCCGGGACATCACGAACTTCAGTTAGATTTTGTCAGTCCATGATGTACAGTTCTGATTGCCATTTATCTACTACAACAAATTCTCATGCTTCTGGCAATAATATGCCAAAATTGATTGTGCCCTGGGTGTTGTTTGGCCACATTTAGTCAAACACCAAAAGGAAATCACTTTCACATCCTATTGTAGGTGATTTCCATCTGAAGTTACTTTTGGTTAAAAAGCATAGAATACTAGGAAGTGAAAATGCGAGTCGTACTGTAGTTGGCTCGCTACTTGTGGAATGGATCACTCGGTAATCTAATCATTTTGTGGGAGATACGGATGTTGGAGTGTTATGTTGATTCAGTTGGATTCATTCCAGGGTATCAGTTTCGTCGATACCTCCAGCTGTTCCATATCGTCTGCTTGTATGAAACACTTGACAAATGTATCGGTTATTGATGTGTTTAGTCTCCTTGATTTCTGCCGGGTATGAAACTACCTTTGTTGTCGAATACACTGTTTTGAATCTGCTTTGCAGACAAATTTCCATTTGAACGAATATGTACCTTTCCTTGCATATCCCGTTGCAGAAGGCACTCTCGGACTACTTCCGAGAACATGGTGGACCATCCAACCCAGTGTAAGTTCCCACATATCGACCCTCGTTTTCCTTTGAACAAAAACCGCTGTGGTAAAGACACCCATTCTCGAGGACTGTTACTTTTTTTACTCTGGGCTTGTTCTTTTGTTGAAAATCAGTTATGATGCTTATCTCTTTCCGTAAACCTTCATTCCCCACGAAAAACACCCTTTCTCAAGACCTTTTCCACTCTAAATGAATAGCACCACCTTTGTTGGGTCTTACGATAAGTGTGACACTGCTCCTATCACTGATGTTCTACAACACTGGCATTCAGCTACCCTTCCCCCATTTCCGTGTTGGGTTGAAAGCCAGTCGTGTAGCTAGTGTTCGGCACATTACGGTCAAGTAAGCACGTTTCGGTCGGGCTGCTGGTGCACAACAGTACGCTCTTAGAGGAGCCGTCACAGAGAATTTGCTGGGTCTTCCGTTAACGGTACAGGTGACCGGTTTATTTTTTTCTCTGCGCACGGTTGTTGTTCGTATTCGATTGCCAGCCGATGATCTAGTCCTGCGCCATTTATGGACTTCGAATGAATAAGCTGTGTTGTCCACAGATCGAACGGAATCTGCATATCTCCCTGATATGGTTTCTGCAATATTCACGGACTATAACTGATAAAATTAAGCAAGCACGTGACGGCGGATCAAACTTGGTTCTTACTTTTCTCTGGTCCACACTGACCAGGTCCACTGGTCAGTGTGGTATGGAAGTATGGTTCACTGACCATACTTCAGCTCTAAAAACCGGATCCGAAAATCAAGCACATTAAATAACTTATTAAGTTAGATTTCAACAATCAAGGCATCACATTACATGTTATTTTGGTGGCCATTCAATCTCCGTTAGTGTGATATTAAGCGTTTTTCCATCGTTCCCTACTATTTCCGTGTTTTTCGGTATCGCTTTCAGACGTGGTAAGGTTATCAGGAGTGTGTTGTCGTTAAGGGTTCACTAGCCATCACATGTCGAACTATTTGCGTTTCAACCCAGAATGAGGGCCTACGTTGATCTGACCGAGTCCGATGACCAGAGCGAACTGGACAAATCGGTAGTGTTCCAGCAAAGCAACATCTTGAATGTACTTTCTTGGAATATTGATGGACTGGACAAGACAAATTTTCATGTACGACTGAAGGCTATACTCAGTTGCCTGAAAAGGTGAGTGCTTACATCGAATCACTGCTACAAGATTAGAATTCTTGAGCGTCTACTCAAGACTATGTGAAAATCACCATGACATCACTCTGTTAGCCGTAGAATCCAAGACGGTCTCTGTTGTAGACGCTCGTTAGTGTGGAGTATGCTATGTTGATAAAAGAGTGTGGTGCTCGTCAAGTATTAAAATCTGTAGAGGATCAATAGAAATGGCGGCAAAAGGGCTCTGTGAGGTGAGAGTTTTCGACCGTTTCCGCCATTCTGAACGTATTCTTTCCAATCGGTATAGATGTGTAAAAGGGATAGAAAGGGTTTTGATACCCTTCAGCAGAAATTTCCGAGCACTTGAATTGAAGGCGATTCTAAAGCCCTACGGTTATGATACATCAGTGCAACTAGTACGAAGAAGCCATTTGTGTGTAGTTCTCCTGCTAGGAGATCTTTCTCAGGATAGATCGTGTGTTGAAAGATGCCCTTCGGTAGTGTCGTTCTGAAGGCACATGTGCCATCCAGAGCAGCAGTAATATCATAATTTTTTTGAAAACGTAGAACCGGACCCCACCGATTAGCAGTTAGTTAATTGACCAGGATTTCACTATACACAAATGAACGTAAGATCTTTTACTTTATTCGACATGGTATGACCGTTTCGTCCATTCAAACCGCCTTATTCAAATGTTTTGGATACATAGAAATATCGCTGGCAGTGATTCGGTTGGAGGTAAGAAAATTCAGTGCGTTGGACATTTGAATACCTCGTCTGTAAAGAGAAATCGTTCATCTGTGGAATCCCTTCGACACAGCTGCTGGGCCATTCGAGGGAAGCACGATAGCTAAATTAATGCCAGATTACTCAAGGCCGCACAAGAGCAGTCAAAAAGCCAGCTTTGGGTTCGAATCAGAGGCCTCTCAGTCAGTAGCCTCTACCTTAACTCTTCAGCTATGTCGTCCTTTGTAACAATCAACTTTCACAACCCTTGGAACATGTAGAGTTTCCAATCTCGTGTCTCAGGTCCGGATTACTGCAGCTAGAAAGGAAAGTGAGAAAGTGCGGCTCGGTAGTCACACTTCCTTAGAATAAGGCCATCAAATGAAACGGAGTCCATCGGTTTCACAGCCACCAACAGCTGGCGGAGTCAGTGATCTTGCTTGAATTACCCTCGGATACAATAAATGAATGATTGCAACTCATTTTACTGAATCTCTTAAATGGTGACGAAACCAGCCGTCTTAGGAGTTTCGAGCCTAATTCGGCTCGGATAGTTTTAAAAAGATCAAACGCCATGTAGATTCCCACAATACTTGAAAGAAGGTTGCGCACGGCAACCGAAACGTCGGATTACGACATCTTATTTCCCTACGCTGTTTTGACGCATGAAACTAACCCTCTTCTCAACGACTCCATAGGCAACTCTCGTGTTTCGGACGGTTCTTGTAAGAGTTCCTCTGGCACCCATTGAAGTTATCACGGTTTCGTAAGGAATACATCTATTTGATGGTCGCTGAACCAGATATTAGTTGGGTCTTATGTTCATATTGCTTTCAATATAGAAACCTCTTTCCCGGTAAAACTGCTATTACCGGCTGTGCGCGTTTGGTCGTTTCAGAAGAACAGAACCATAAATAGTCAACAATGAGTTCCCCGTGTGAATTACGCAGAAGACCATAGCGATTGTTTTTCCACAGTGTATTTTTCGCTGCACCATGCTGTATGCTGGTGTACTTCAAATCCATTCTTACTCCTCTCTTTCCCTCGCTGACAGCGAACTGCCGGACATTGTTTGCCTCCAAGAGGTGGTCCTTGATAGTTTGGATGCTTTGCGGACACAGCTGGCAGAGGACTACCATATTTTCAGCGCAACAGATGATAGCCATGCGGATTGTATACACTACTTCGTAGTTTTACTGGTCAGAAAATGTCCAGGCTTATCAGTAGACCTTTCCAGTTTTGCGGTAAGCGAGTGGAGTTTAGCGAATATTTCTATTTCTCATTGCTTGTTATTAAGGTGATCCAAGCTGGAATTTATGTTGCTCCTCACAGTGAGCTTGCAAGCCATTCTCGATGCGTTTGTTTGCGAGTTTCACAGTCTATTTGCAAGCGTTTCGCCACTATTTGAGGAGACCTTGTCAGTACACAATTGAATAGCTGTTGTTCCTCTCCACGTGCGTTCACGTAACTTTTAGAGTGTATGGCAACTCTGAGAATTATGTTACGTTTCAGTCCGTGTGTTTTGTGCTGTTTCCTGATTTTGACTGGTCCGTTGGATACTATTCTCTAAGTTCTTATTTTAACCTTTCTGACTGGTCCACTTCAATCTTATTCTTCTTTTTCGTACTTTGTGTGTCAAAAGCGAAACGTTGCCCAAATAAAAACTACCGATTGTTTACCAAGCTCTTCTGAAATGATGATTTCTCAATCGGTTCCAAACTTTTTCCAATTGATTCTTTTTCGTATGTTTTTTGTGCACCTTCCGTTTTCAGTAGTATCCATCTTTTTGGCTGGCTTATCTAAAGTGCGCGCTTTGGCTAATCGATTGATTCGCATACCTTTCTTAGCACCTCCCTTCCCCCCCTGCTCGTGTTTCTTTGAATCGTTTGTTTTTATTACAAGCTGTGGATTCGATTTGTTGGGGAATGTAACTGCTGTTGCGCTGAGCCTCATTGGCAACGAAGAACTTCCCGTCTACTGGCTACTTTGCACTCACAACACCCAAAGTTATTGCCAATTAATGGGGATATTGAGAGCCCAGTTAGTTGGAATGTTGTTAGACCACTTGTGTTTACTGATTGTTAGTTTGGTATTCTAGTTTCCCAGTTTGCTTGCAAGCATTTGTCTGTGTTCGAAGAGACGGAGTTTCTCTGTGTATAGTTTTTGGGAGATATTTCGATTGCGATCTATTTTGTCCTTATTTGATCCTACGAACACATTACGTTATCAGAGAAGACTGACGTCATTTACGAATACAGTCCAGGTATTTTGACAAGCGAGAATAAACGAACACAAACTCTCCTAGAAGAGATGATCAGTTCTGTCTCATTCCCGTTCAATAAGAAACACTCACATGCTTGGTCGTTCACTAACGGAGAACGAGTTTCTTAGGACTTAGTACTCTGGTAGTATAAGATACCCTTTGAAAGTCACTTCAATGCGCGATAGAAGGGAGAAAGGCGCACCAAATCGCCTATCGATAATACATTCTCGAATTATAACGCAAAGCCTGTGAATCAAAGTACACTGTCGGTGAACCGATCAACAATCAGTAAATGTATCAAATCTACTAATTTTTTAACCACCGCCAGGAACCGCTAATCTACATCCCCGTGTTTGGGGCAAATAAATTAAACTCAAATCACGTGTTATTTCATCTATCATGAGTGAGACATTCTACTGGAAACTTGCTCGAGCTTTACTGATCCAGTATTCCCACCAGACTCGGGCAGTTCTCTGAAGACAATAATGGTCAAATACTAAACGTCCTCCGCACGCAGCGGCCAGGTTTCTGACCCGTATAACAATATGGGAGCTGCATTGTAGCTGACAGATGAGCTGATGTCACGCCTATACCGCAGGTGATGCGGTTTGACAAAGACTGCTCTAGCTTTCCCAATGCAGATGGAAATATCGTCTTTAGCTAATCCACTGGGCCTGAGACAGCTAAATCGGCTCCTTCGCAAGCATGAGATTCAGATTCGAGCTCATCCAGTCTTGCGGCAGCACCCTATACTTCGCAGGCGTGAAGCACCAAACCCTAAGGCAGAAGTATTTAGACTACTTACTATTATCCGCATCAGTACAACATGAGATTGTCTGTGTGTTGGATATTACTGAGCGTACGTTTCAGTTCCACAGGTTCATAGGCTCGGACTGAGTCTTCTGTGATAGTATCGCTGATCTTGAAGAGATCAGGTGAGAAGACCATCCTTCTTGATGCCACAGGATATAGTGGACTCGCAGGATATTTCGTAGATTTTCACCCTCTGTCACACCTAGCTCACTAACAACTTCAGGTGAATACACTACGACCAGCCACCATTAACGTGGCTTTTATAACCCCAGCAGCTACACATAGTCAGCAGCTCTTATGCTTACATTAACGAAACCGTTCCAGTAGCAAATGACACTACCACATTACACGATGGTCCACCCCTTTCGCAACGTTGGAGACCGAAGCCTCTGATTTTTTTCTCCGTTCCGAAATGATAAATACCTTGCCTCAAACTTAAGCACCTCGCAGTTTTACTGAAGCTCGAACCAGGTGTTATGCGTTCACCCACTGGTTCCGCAATTGTGTGGCTTATGTGCGTAGCGGCGCTTCCAATGGAAGCCGATACGCTCCTTAGACGTAAACAACTTTTCGGTGAAACACTACCTTTTTTCAGTCACTAAGTTTACATTCTTGGGGCTGGGACCGAATCCAAACAACGAAAAATTGATAGCTAAACTCATATTCACACTGATATGGTCAAACGCTTTAGGGTCCACCTTCCGTTTTTAGAATTCGGAAGGCATTCGCCACTCTATCAAATGTGAAAATGTGTCAAATGTGAAAGACATGTGGTGCGGTGATTGTAAATAAAACACACGACTTACTTTGATGATGCGAGTGATGCGAATTTTACGAGTTTTCCTCGCAATTATGATACTAATCTGCAATAAAGGAACTGACGCTAAACTGCCAGACGGTGAAGAATGGACGCGATATAGGTATCAGACTGCCACAGTTTTAAACTGTCGGTCAGTTTCCCATTGGAACTTTTCATGATGGTTCAGCTGAGTATCTGGACACTTTCGCCGATGGTTAACCACCTCAGTTTTGAACCTACTTGACCACCTGTCTTTGGTGCACTGTTGGTATTCAGACGCTCTTGTTTGGACAGAGCTAGAGCTTTGAGTTCTTCGGTCAAAAATGAAGCCTGAGTCAGCCCATCATGGGCGAGAAGTGTGAGCCATTGCTCCTTCTTGTGGAACTGTCTCACCTTGTTGTTGATATATGAATTCACTAGGCAACACTGACGTGTCCGGTTTCCAAATATGTGCATCAGTGTTACAAGTATCATCAGTACTAATTACTGGATGCTGCCTATTTTCCTATTTCACAGACTATGACCTCTTAAACCAGCACTCTTTGATGGAGGTAGACCTCTTCTGTGTGGTTGTTATATCTGTTGTCCTTCTTTGCATCGGATTTATCTATCTTCCAACATAGTCATTATGTCTGCTTTGTGGCTTCCAGGTTACGTGAGATTTTGTTCGATACATGCGCTGTTAAACCAGGAGGTCTTTTGATTTTTTTTCGTAATCGCTGAAGCATTTCGGATTTTAAACACGTCAGCTAGCCCAACCGAAATGATGCTCTGTTCTCATTGATCCGATACGGCCTTGGCTGAGTTAGCTATCACATTTAACTAACCAGCCAGAGTGTGTTTGGATACTAGAACACCCAATGTCGTCTCACCTTTCGAACAATGGGCAAAAGCCTTCAATTTTTTAGGGAGACGGTGCATTGGTTTGAAATTCTCCACTCAGCTAGACGCTGGTTTCCGTCTCATAATTTTTTCAAAAATCTGGACAACTGACGTTGAATGCTATACTTTATCTAGAAGATGCCAAAAGCCGGTTCGTGGTAGCCCTTGCGAAAAATAACTATATCTGATTATATGCACCAGGGTATTCGGCACACTGAAGGATTGAAGCTAATTAATTTGTTGTACAAACTGAGAAGACATGAAATTTTTAAGGGAGCGTATCCTGTCTGCGATGGCAGTGTTCAACCATGCCACATGGTGTGTTCAGATAACTCGAAAAATGGTACCAATTCCAGAGAAACTTGATATTTAGAGAACGAAATCGGCATCAGGTTCAATATTGGTTAACTGGAATGAAATTTAATTTCACCCGGATTCAGCTTCGGAACTATTTTAACACATATAGTGAGAAAACATTGCTTAGAGATTCCCCGCGTCTTACAGAAATCAGTTTCCGTCAACCTGAGAAATAAGCGAATTAGCAACACTATCGTATATCATCGTTTGAATCAGGACTTCGTAGGTCTCTGGAAACTTAAGGTATACAGCCACTCATTGGTAGATGGGTAAGATGATGAAATAGTTACAAAAACAGAGCACCGGGTCACATGTATCGTCTAATCATCAACTGGCTCCTGTCTCATCACAAAACTACTGAACTGGTCAACTTTTCTCCTTAGTTTCAGCTCGATTGGGTACATGCCAGCCATAAAACGGGAACCGAAGTGAATTGGTATAAATATGCCCAAAGTTGGGTACATGCCAGCCATAAAACGGGAACCGAAGTGAATTGGTATAAATATTGCCCAACGTCCCACTAATATCCACTAAAACAGGTCGTCAAAAGATGTTAGGGCGAAATGACCGGAATTTGTCATCAAAAACGCTGGGGGTCGACTTCCTCGGTCGGCCAAATACGTTCATCGCGCCCTTCTTTTTCCGCATTACGGGATTCGCGTTACCTTTTTGTAAATCCTTAATTCTATTTCATATACTGGTCAAACTTCAACTCCATTTTCATGTCCAATCATTGGTAGTAGGCTTAAGGTGAAAACGTCGGCCTTCCTATCGTTTTTCCGCGAACTGTGTTGACACTTCAGACGTTTCTGTCCCAATTCATACAATGTGAACACTGGTCACATCCACGTAGGTTCATAGATTCTATCAGATAGCAGAGCCAGACGGGAATTGAACCGTGTCCGCGCAAGACACTTCACCTCACAGATTTGACTTTACTCTTTATTCTTCATAGTTTCCTCTCCACAACTGCAAATGCTTATCTGAAAACCTTTTATGTAACATTTCCCGCAGGTCACCCCTTTCTTCGGCTCACAGATGGGACGACACACCGTAGCGGTTGATGTACTACTCGATCGCGCCAGGTGGTCAGCTAAGGATGTCACTCACCCTCCGATCTGTGAGAATAACAACCAACCCTCTCCTCCACCACTTCGCCTTCGTGTCATCACTGCCCATTTGGAGAGCTGTCGAGATGGATGTAAGCAGAGAAAATCTCAGTTGAAACAGGTTTGGGCCAATATGCTACAACTCAGTACAAATTCCAACGTTGATCTATCCCAAACACGAGTAGCGTCTATATTTTGCGGAGATTTAAATCTTCGCGATTCGGAGGTGAGTGGTTTTCAACCTTGCATCTCGAAGTGACTGCTAGTCAGGCTAAATGGCTGTCATCACAGGTGCCGCTGATTCATTACGACGCCACATAACCAGGTTTTTCGTGTCCGGAGGCTAGTTGCTTCGACCAGCCAATAGATCTGATCGATAGAACAATTTCATAGCGAACCAGCTACCGACCAGAATGAGCCTTTGCCTCATGGTCCTCATCCATACTTGAAGATTCCCACACAACCTGGAAGAGATAATTCTTCAAACAGTAAAAGACTACCTCAAACCAACGTGCATTTTGGCAGACTCTAGTGGACCGGACAGGAAGCCAGTTCCCAAGAGGGGAGTTGCACAACCACAATAAGCATTGACTTTTCCTGCTGTGAAACAGTACGGAACGGCACCAAGCAATGTACGATTGATATTTATCGAGATCCCAACGAACGTAATTTTTGCTCTAGCACCTTTGGACACACCACGGTAGAGTATCTCTTTGTGTCAAATCCGAGTTTCGTTGTTTGTTCGAGTTGTTTGCTGGATAGATAATTTTTCGTCAATCGAGCTGACATCATAGCTGCGTTGTCAGGAAGCGAAGCGGATGGTCGTGCTTCTTAAGGGGGTGAGTTTTGATTATGAGTAATATTACTGATTGAATTTTTCACTCGTGTTCTGGTTGGTTCTGATCCGGATCCTGTGACTTTTTACAAATTACTCCGTGGCCGGTCTTGTCGTCTTTTCCCTTTGTGTGTTTGTGTTACTCGATTGAGCTCGCGATGCATAGCTTGGGTGCAGTTCAATGTGTCGGTTGCGTGGATTGTCCTGCTTCTGGTGACTCCCTTGCGTGTTCGTAACCTCCAGGCTGTAGAATTTTCATGTCTTCCGTACAGATACACTGACTTTTCTGATCTTTCTCGTGTATGAAAATTAAAGAAAGTAGACCATGCCTTCTTAAGGCTATGTTTGTTCATTGATCTGTGTAGATATTTTCTTCTGGATTGTCCAATGTGGTGCCTGTCGTATTCGCTGCACTTTGCCCACTAGATATGGGTTTTTATCGTTTAATTCCCATCCACGAAGATTATGTCGCTTCTTTGTTTCAGCTAGCCTTGTCAAATTTATTTAATCACTTGCCTGCCGCTCCCCGGCTTTGAGAGCTAATCACACGCTGAACCGTTAAGTGCTCAACCACTGGCTGGAACCGGTTCTAAACTCTTTTATTTTTACATGAGATATGTTCTGATGATGATTGCCAATAAGGATGAAGCAGCTGTACACTTCTCGGCTTTTCACCATTAGTCGACCTCTCTGACAGCACGAAATGTTAGTTGAACTGCTGAAGTCTGCAAGGATTCCGATCCAAAACCGTTTGTAGAAGAGCGGAAGGATCCAGTTTAAAATGGCCAGAGGTATAATTCACTCGCACAGAATAGAAGGCCATCCAACCACGCAGATGCATATCATGCCGGTTGTTTACTCCTGGAGCTGTGCTATTTTTGGCAGTTTCCTATGAATGTTAACAAATCACCAGCACTAAAATGGTCTTTCACAATGATATGCACATTTTGTTGAATACGCTCAAAACGATTTTGTGAGAACCGCTGTGTTAAAGTTTCCTTTATATACGCACCAAATGTCGAATTTCAGTGTCCCGAAAGGGCATGTTAATTGACCTTAACTAGGATTGAAACCGGGTTCAAACCATCGATCATCAAGCACACAGGAGTTAACTCAACGGATCGTTCTAGGTCGTATCGCGAAGCAATTGGTCGCAGAGACTGAAGTTCACTGAGGTTCCTCAAAAGATCTACAATTTAATCTGAGACTGCCATGGTCTCATAAGTGAAAAAACATCTTTATGCACATAAATGAAGTGAACTGTGTTTTGTTGTCCCCCATAATGTCTTATAAGTTTTGCGGCAGAAGGGAATCTTTGCTGCACGTTTGTTGTGCTTGCCAACTTGTTCCAATAATCGGAGAATCACAGAGCTTTTAAATATTGATTCGATCGACCTTCCCAGCATACTTAAAGTTATTCTAAGGGCTTTTATTTATGTCTGTTGTCAGGTTAGCCAACTCGGAGGCCTTCCAGTAGGTCTTCAGGACGTTTGGGAACAGACCGGGGCTCGGCCTGAGCTGAAATGCACTTGGGATCCTGTTCGAAACTCCAACGCAGGCCGGTTTTCCAAGTATGTGCCAGCCAAACATCCCCAGTCCCACAGGTACGACCGTATGTACTTTTGCTCTGGTGGGTACCTCAAACCGATTGATTTCGGCCTTCGTGGGCTAGAACGCATCCAGAAACACACGTGTTTTCCCTCAGACCACTGGGGTATCTTGGGGCGCTTTGTAATTATGTGCTAGATGACATTCATTTATTATTGCTCGACAGAAACACTCCAGATCATATTTTGAAGAAACCCAATCAGTTACTTGTATACGAATTCCATTTGATTTTATAAAAGCCTTGATGGGTTCGATGGGGAATCAGCTGTATCTGCGTGTGGCGAGTTTTATCGCCTTCCGCGTTAGCGTCAAATTTTTCGAAGTCCCATTACAAGGAACACCCGTCGATGATAGGCCACCCGGCGCGCGTACTTGGTCGATGTTGTCATCTTAATTATCCCATGACACCATCTTACAATTCTAGGTGTTATTGGGTTGTACTTGTGTGGTCATTCATCTTAGTACAGTATGTCATGATGACAGTCATTTAGAAGTATATGACGTGATCTAATTGGCTTTCGGCGAAAGAGCTCTGTCGAAATCTCGTTCGAATATGGAACACACTCTCACAAGTGAACTATGTGCACTCCTATGGGTTCCCTTGGCAGCATAGTGAGTTAAGGCTACGGTTTAGTCTTCAAAAAAAAAAAGAACGGCTGCTAACTGGTTCGAACTCTCGCGCATAAAGTGCTGATGAGCCCTATCCATAGCTAAAGAGCTGGAAGAAATTTCAGGGGAAAAGCCTGTTCGGTGCAATACGGTTTGAAACAACGTATTCGGACCACTGAGTGAATGTTTTCATCCACAAATCAAAATCGCAAACTGTGTACGGATATCTAATAATCACCTGGTGATTGATGTTAGACGAATGGACACTGTGATCACAGCCAAAAATGGACGGAAAACATACCATGTTCGAGGAGAAGCTCGTGAACTCCAATTTTTAATCAGGTCACGATTTCTGACGAAACTGCATGTGAGGAGTTAGCTGGTCAAAAAGACTCAATCGAGATGGAAAATTAGTTTGCTACGTCAGTGTATCTTGGGATGCAGAAGTCGCCATAGATCCATGGTGGATAGTCTACGGACAATGAAACACGAGAGGAGCGATGATTACTCTATTCTATGGAGAGCTTAAGATGCATAAAACTTGATGCCTCGGACGATGAATGTTTATTTACACACCAGCCTACTATTTCAGTGTCGCTCGCGAGGTTTTCGAAAATTATTCGTGTTTCAGTGCTACTCTCATTATTAGGAACAAAGCTTGGGATCCTCCCAATGCTCCAACCGCTACATACATCCGTGTGGATGTCCGGGCTTATCCCGTCTGAGTGGGACGTCCCGATTTTGTTCCCAGTTCCTAAGAATGGTAATTGAGGGATGAGTTGCACAAATGCTGTCGTATTCCTTGACTTTCGGTGCTCAGACATGGCCCAGCCAAGGTATTGTCCGCTCCCAGAAAAGCTGTGTGGACCAGATGTTCACCTTGCGCCAACGCTGGAAGATCCTGCCAAATATCGCCAGGTATTCATTGCTTAATTCGAACTTTCGCGCTGCGTTCTACTCCATTCACCGTTCGCCAGCCAACCTCATGGCTCACAGCACAGGTTGTTAACGAAGACTCAAGTTCGAGTTTGCGACAAAAAGGACTGCGGATTCGACCTCTCATCCAATGAGACATATGTCCTACTAGCTACCCCGTACGATCCAATGGTTGGCGATCAACGCCAGTACTCTTTAGTTTGGCTCCACGCAAGAAATTGTCTGACGGATAAGAATTGGATGCAACTAAACGCTCCGCTGCATTTGACACTTGGGTTCTATCTTTCTGATCAACGGGCAAGCTAAGGAATAGACTCATCATCGTATCAATACGCAAAGTATGAACACCTTTCGGAAGTGAAATCAACCTGTGCTCATAGGTTCATGCAGCAGCCCTTACTTCCGATAGTGAAAGTTGGCCGATTCGGGTGCATGCGCAACCTCGAGGTCTTTGACGGTTACTGTTTAAAGTGGACTCTGAACGTCCATCACCTCGACAAAGTATTTACACCGTTGTTAGCGAACGCTACTTTAGCATCCCACGTCGCAGGTAACTACCACAGCAGCGACGACTCTAACAGTTAGGTCATTCTGCTCGAAAGCTAGATGTTCAGGGTACCGCTACCCTCCTGAAGGACAACTGAGTTTCCGAATCAACACCGTCAAGTCAGATCCTGAAAGGTTCAGTCTCAGCCTATCACGCGGTACGACCCTAGCCTTTAACCATCGGTTGTGGGCGGCAACAGCAAGGGTTATCTTTGAATTCGGCTCGTCATGTCGCAGGTTGGGACGTGTGCTGTTTTACATACGAAATTAGAAGTGCACAGCTGATCTTAAATCATTCGGTGTTTATATTTTACCGAATGATCATATCGGTCAGTTAATCACAACTGAATCGGGCCGACTCACATTTACTCGTTTCATGTGTTGTAACATTTGACTTGACTGTTAATTGCAGGGGTGGCGTAGATCTAAAAAGTCGGATATCAGCTGCGTCTGTTGTTATAAAGTCCTATTACATTACATATAAATCACATATTTTAAACGTAATACACTAATAAGGTTTTTGAAAATCTTGTCAGAAACTTTGACAGTGTTTGGTGATCACAGGTTTTCCTTATGAGGGCACTGTATGCGAACTCCTGTGGACGCGTTTGGCATGCGCTTCACACCTGCAAAGTGTAAATTATTGCTACAAGACTGGGCGGAATCAATCGATGTGGCAGATGAATTTCTTTACCTTGACAGCTGTATAGGTTCCAGTGGAGTGGATGGAGATGAGATTATTTTTCGAATTGCCAACCTCCGACATTTATGGCGCCGACATGACGTGTTTTTCTGTGGTGGTGTGCACTGTGGTGGTGCGATAGATGGCTTACTCATGCTCCATAGGTTACGCTGGTTAGGACACGTACTCCGCACACCAGAATAGCGTCTACCTCGCAGACCTCTTTACACCCAGCCCTTTGTTGCGTGGAAGCGACCGAGAGGTGGGCAGTCTACGCCCTGGAAGCGAAGTATGAGAACACTAACCAGTAAACTTAGTCGGATGGACGACTGCCGTCTCCCTGGACGGGGACCCCAGGACTCAATTCATTAATGGTTAATGACTATCATCATCATAATCATCTGTAAGAACCAAGCAATGGTCGCACAGTGGTCATAACTTCACAATTTCGTCCATCGATGATTTGGGGCGATAGGGTAGGTAGCTGCGCATTGGAAGTAGGAGCTGGTAAACTGGTGCGGAAATACGGGTCTGTCAATCGACTTTTGAGGAGGGATTGGGAAGCGGGCTATGCATTGAAGGCAATAGATTTGACGCATGAGTACCCGTATGGATCGCACCGTAGCCTTGTAATCTCGACCCTTGACAGATACGCTGATACTACGTCTACGTCACAGGTGACGCAGTTTCATTGAAGCTGCTTTGGCCTTCCCAATGCATACGGAAATATCTCTCGCCAGACCACCGGGACCGATACAGCTGCCCAGGTAGATAAACCAATGGCACTGGCCCAATCGCTCATGTGTCAAAATTATCGCCTTCAATGCGTAGATACCCAGTTACCGAACTGACCCAACATGCCATCGCCTCCAAGGCTTGGTTGTATTTCACACTCTCCCACTTTCCAGTGATTGCAACTATGGCAGCTGGGACCATTGTGCCTATGGCACACGATTTATAGCCCCCAGTAAGTTGATTGATTGATTCTGCTTGAAGCGGGAAATGTGTTGCTTAAACATGGCAAACCAGTTGTATGCACTAGTTATGTAAATAGGAAGCGGAGGCGCGCCGATTTCTTTCATCTAATAGGGGTTCGGACCAAACGTTCGCCCACAAGTGGGTCAGTTTGGAGATACCTGCTGGAACAGGTGACTTAGATACGATCAATTTTAAGGTAGCTGTTTTAAAGCTTAAAAACAACACAAACGAGAAATTCAACTGGTGAGTCTCCCGTCAAAGCCTAATTGGTATGCCAATGAGTATTTCGCTTATTTCGTGCAATTCGGATCCACGTAGAAGATAATGTTGACGGGAAATCAGGTGCTGCGCCTATCTGAGGAGCTCCAAGAAGAGTGAAACCGGTCGTGGGCTGTTGAGCTCTCAACAACCTTACAGGCATGTTTTTTATGCATGCCCTCTCAGAACCTTCCATTGAAGAATAATTGGACAATTGCACCCCTAATGCGAAGGAAATCAGCACATTACTGACCGAGAATAGTTCGGGAACACAAACTTCCGTCTTGGTGTTTTATGATATGCACTTTCTGACGAACGAGTACAACGCTAAGATTTGCACGGAAATAAGTCTCGGTCCAAGTGAACACAGTTACCAACAAAAAAGCGATTGGTTGCCATGTGTGGCTGCTCAGTAACCCAGTGTTGTAAAAGCATAAGAGAATAGACAGAACTCAAAAGCTCCAGCCTTCATGAACATTTGACCACAAGCTGACATTTCCATCACAAGTCGTTTTTGAAAACCAACGGTTTGCACATCTCTAGACTAAGTCTGGAAATTAGGCGTCCTTTTTCACAGGTGTAACAGTCAGATGATGAATTCTCATCCGTCCCAGATGTCCTCACACGCCAAATAAAGCAAAGGATAAATATGGATACACCACTTAGGTTATCAGCTGACAAGCTACTTAGATATCAGATACATGTAGAAAACTCACTTCATGCACTGACCAGTAGCCTTCTAACGCACTGAGGCGTTGAGTGGATTGTAAGGTGGGAATAAAATCGTGAGTTCTGTACCAACTATGAAGATTAAAAATACCGCGGGAAGCTGAAGGCGGAATCTGACTAGGAGCTTACCATCATCATCATCATCAATGACAGCAACATCAGTGTTGGCACTGATGCTTCACTGCCGTACAACCATAAAGTTCGTTTAGTTATATATATATATATATATA